TTTTGTTTTCGATTTGACTCTGAGAGACTTTTAAAAATCGTTTGGTATTGTTTTCGGGAGATTCTAGAATAATTCGAAGATAATTGAAGATACCTAGGCACTCAGGTTAGTTTTGACCCGAATATGCGATACTCACTATTAATTATATCGCACCTTAAGTTCAATCAGGAGTAGAATATGGATAGATGCCCCCAAGAAAAGATTTTTCGTCTCTTTCTCTACCTTTATGTCGTTACTGTTTTATGGGACAGGCTTTCCAATTCGAGAAATCTCTCTCAGTAAAAACGCAACCAGTTTACGATGCTATCGCACTGTATCAGCTCGTTGGGCGGAATTTTCTCGGATGTCCTTTCCTACTTTATCTTTGTAAATTTCAAAGTGTTCACGTAAAAGGTGTAGTTTTGATTTTTTCATTCAAATTTTCAGTTCTTTACAATACCTTGAGCCGAAGGTAAAGTACTGACGTATTCGTCGAGATTCTCTTTCTCCGTGGCGAGGGAATGTGACCTCGTAATTTTATTCAGTTACTAGAAGCAAATTTCTTTGAGTAAAACCTTATTGAAAGCCTTCACGTCTTTTTTTTTGTCAACGAAATTTGCAGTTCAGCCCTCAACAGACTGACCTAGTCCTAACAATCGGTTTAACGGGTAGAAACAGCTAGAGGAAGTTTTTAAAGTTTTATTAATATAATTATTCAGTCACTGACTGTAAATAAAAGAAAGCCACTCGGACCATGCACGGTTTCTTGAAAGTCTAGCAAAAAAATCTATGCAATAAAATATGCTTCCAAGAATTTTTGCAACCAAAAAGGTGAAGATAAAGAAGGAAATGCCTGACAGTATTATTTCAATTTCTTTTAATACAGCAAATCCTTTTAAACTATATCATATAAAGTACTTACGTCGCTTTCGCGAAGCGTTCCGCCTGAAACATTGCCTTTAGCAAAGGATTTATGTGGACTATTTTAGACGGTAAAGAAAAACACGGACAGAAGCTGACAAGTACATTGGTGTCCCGATGTTTTACGCCAGTCTTTTCCCTGCCACCGGTTTTACGCACCTTTCTCTTCCTTTGGGTCTTTTAGTATGTAAAGAATAACATTTACAGCAGCTTGAAAAACAACTTTTTAGTGCTAGCACAACGCATGCTAACAAATATTTCATTTAAGCTGAGAAAAATGGAAACAACTTAATTTTCTCGATTCTTAGATGATTTCAAGCTAAAATTTACGAAAAACATTTAATTTTCAGCTATTTCGGCGTTCGAATTAAACAAGCTAACTTTGTGCTTTTACACTTAAAAAAGTTACCTACATATCTAACAGCACTTATTAATGTGCATATCGGTTTGCCCGCGACGTATTCAAAAATTACTCGGACAGGCGCCATTACCAGTCACTCGGGAAATGAGCGCACACTCAGAGAGCGGCGCAAGCCTTAAATTAATTACTACAGTGAAAAAAGGTAAATCGTAAAGATTCATTCGAACTTTCAAATATGTTGTACACGTTGTATTGCCGAGCTTCTATATTTTTTGTATTTTTTGTCACTGCTGTCGATGTGGTAATATGTTTCTCAGTATTTCCATGATAGCATGTCAAACATGTCTCATCTTTCAGGAGTAGATCAGAGGATTGAGAGATGAATTGATTAAAAAAAAAAAAAAAAAAAAAATGGTTGAAAAAATTTAACAAAAAAAAAAAAAAAATCTTTTTTTGTATTTTTATAAATAAAATAAATTATTTAATTATTATTTTGTGGAGGAGCGGAAAAGGATACACTAAGATAGGACAAGATAAAACAATAACATCACAGT